TACTGCCAGACTCAGAGAGCAGATTCTTTGCGATCCCTCTTGCTCAATCAGCAAGAGAAGAGGCTATACTGTCTGTTTCTAGTGTCCATTTAGGAAAAGTACAGTCAGCAAGACAAGGTATTACGTAAACTAAACCTCAATCAATACACACGTGACTGCCACTTTGTTTGTGACAGGATCATTATCTTGAATCTCAGCGATTGTTTTGTCACAGATTAAAGGGAATTCTTGAAAAACAGGGTGGTGGAGGCTGACAGGGACTTGCCATGCCCAAGAATTTCCTGGAGTGGACACACAACCAGGCCTTCATAAATGTCACTATTCCCAAGGTCACTCCACTCCCCCACAGGGCCAACACAGTGATCTTGCGTGTGCAAAGGGAAAGAACAAATCATAGCATTTACCGAAAAACTAAGTCACATGTAATAAAAGGAATAATCAAAAGTATATTGAATCCGGGCATGGTAGCACACACCTTGAATCCCAGCACTTTGGAGGCAGAGGCAGGCAGATCTCTGTGAGTTTAAGGTCAGCCTGGTCTACAAATGGAGTTCCAGCCGGGGCCAGGGCTACATAGTGAGACCCTGTCTCAAACAAAGTATACTGAGCAGGCATAGTGGCACATATCTGCCTTCCCTCACTCAGGAGGCTGAGATCGTAGCATTGCAAATTAGATATGGCCTTGAACTACACAGTGAATTCCAATCTAACACAGAATAAGTAGTGAGACCTAATTAAAAAAAAAAAAAAAAAGATGTGTGCTTTTCTTTTATTCATGCCATATTCAGTGTCCTGTGATCAATCGCCTCTGGACTCTGCCATATTCAGTGTCCTGTGATCAATCGCCTCTGGACTCTGCCATATTCAGTGTCCTGTGATCAATCGCCTCTGGACTCTGCCATATTCAGTGTCCTGTGATCAATCGCCTCTGGACTCTGCCATATTCAGTATCCTGTGATCAATCGCCTCTGGACTCGCTTCACTTGCATCTGACCTTTCCTTTGGGAACAGCTGCGCTCGTCTTTGCAATCTTAACTGGTAGAGTCAGGAAATACATAGAGCTGCATGCTACACCTATGGCATAGTCCTGACATCAGCACCCGCTGGTGATTGATTGGCAGGGCCTCCTCAGATATGTTTTCATAGCCTCTGAAGTTCATGATTCCTAACCCCTGCAATCGATTTGAGCTGGCACTCAGAGCCCAGAAACTCCTCGGCAACTACACTCCGAGGTTCTCTCTCCTCTCCAGAGTTGACTCGGGGCTCAACTGCGGCCCAAATATAATTAGGCGGCCTTCTGGAACTATCTAGGTGCAAGGCTTTCTTCCTCACATGAGTGCCAAGTTTCCACTTTCAAGAACTTAAACTGCCATATAAAATGCTCTAGCAAGGATGAGTAATTAGACACTGTAATGGAAAATTAACTGTGTTTTTATTTAGAGCACTTATTTTAACAAGACTTTTTTTCTAACTATTATTAAATTGCAATAAAAATAAATTAAATCCTGAGAATTTACAAAGACATTCTGTTTAAAAAAAAAAAACAAGTGAACACTCTCCTGGAGAGTGTTTATTTTGTTAATGCCATGAAGTGTGTGTAAGGTCCAGATCAGAACCTCATCAGTAATGATTCCTAATGCTGATTCCATATATGCCACACTTGCTGTGAGAGACACCGTTTGCAGCTCTCTGGCGGCTAAAATAGCAGGCACTGGCGTGTAGGCCCCCTGAGAATTCCCTTAACCCTCGGTCCTCTCTTTCCTGCCCTACAGCTTGCAGTAGACGTGTGTCTTGCCGCAGAATGCTCTGTGAACTCTCAGTGAGCACCTGTGGCTTTGTCAAGTTCCTGGGTGGGAAGAAGGATGTTGGCTAATCCAAATATGAACCCATCTCGAGACACGCTGGAGATCGCTCTTCCACCCAACAGAAGTGCCACGCAAGTGCTTCCTAAAAGATGTGCACATCCCCTATCACCCAAATTCTCGCATCCAAACCCTTCAATCATATTCCAGTTAAGAGCTGGCAAACTAGCTCAGCCATGAAGCCACAAAATTTACTCCAGGAAGGGACAATGGCAAAATGGGAGAGCTGGCTCGACGGCTCCCACACAAGCCAACAGGCAGGGTACAGCAAGGGAAGCTCGGGACATCTGACCTGCTTTGCTTTTCGTTTGTGCCTTTGCCTGCAGCCTTCCAAGCTTGCAGCGCTAAGCCCTCCTCTTCCGAAGGAGAAACAGACTTTCAAGATGTTTGGAGTATGACATTTCTCCAGCTGCTTACCTTCTGCCATGAATGACGATGATGGAGTCCCACGTTCCAGGGGACTCCACTTAAGGTGCCAAGCGTGAATCTAAGTAATCAATGTTACCTGTTTATTGTCTGTGGACAGTGATCTCAGAAGTCACCTTGATTTGGTCTATACTCTAAGCTATCCTGTGGCATAAGGTTGAACCTGAGCAGCCTCGAGACTTCACAGAAATCCACTCTTTCTCTTTTATCTTCCTTTTTTTTCTTTCTAATCTCTCTTTACAATTTAAACAACCATTTCAGTTCTTACTGCTTCTCATACAGACCAATGGAAAACCTACAATGTGCTAAAATTAGTTTTATACTGTCTGTCTTTATTTGCATTATAAATTCAGTCTCCATCTCAAAGAATAAATAGCCTGAATGATATATGCAACAGGCCTTATAAGTGAGCCTGTCTGTCTGGGTATTCTAAGCAAATATAAATATTTGTTTAATTAAATTATCAAATTCAATGTTATAAAGGACATTGGAAGAGGCACTTTAAGTCTGCACAAAATTTCTAATCCTTTTTCCATCTGCAATTAGAAAAATCAGCAGCAACAGAAACTGCTAGGAAACAATTCATAAGCTCTTAGAGCCAATTCCTAAGGAACCCCTCAGCATCTCAATATAATTTCTTTGAAGAGAAATCAGAAAACTTAAGAGGTGGTGGGTGAGTCAACAGCTGCTCTGCAAATGTATTCTGACCCTGATGCCCCCGACGCGGTCCCTCAATGTGTTCTCCCTTCAAATGGGAATAGAGAAACTGGCGTGAGTAATTGCTAATAAAAGTCTGCTTGCCTTTGGCAGCACTGATAATGATCATTTTCCCAGATCCTGGTTTACGTTTCTCCATCAACATTCCAGGGCCCAGTTCTCAAGTTCCCAAAACGCTACTGGATTTGGTCTCCAGCTGAAAGACCTGAGGTTCGGGGAATCAGTGGAAGGAAACTCATGAAGCCCTTGCTGGCTCTCTAACAGAGTCGTGCAAGTCTGGGCCTCGGATAACTCTTCACCGGCGTGACAACCTGGTCTTTGTGGTAAGTGTGCACAAGGACACCACCCCAAAGAACTTGCTTCTCACGGACCCACCAGAGGATAAAATGTTCTCAATGCCACCTCCTAAGATAATCACCCTGTCCCAAATGTCCCTTTTGATTGGTTGACTGGCCTCTGGGTGCGACTGCACGAGTTTATCCAGGGTGTGTAACCAAGATACAACAGTCTTCCTGATTTCTGAGAATCCTGACAAGGACAACTGCGTAAAAGGTGGATTGAACTATGTCAAAACACCACTGTGATGCTGTGACTCTGAAAAAAAAAAATCAATGAATCTATCTTCTTCCACTTGGATGGACTGACCTCTCGACCCCTGCCAGCTCCAAAGTCATGGCCAGACCTAAAGGATCAACTCTAAAGGTCATGAATAGATTCAGCAGAACCATCCTGCCCAATAAGGGGGAAGGAGCTAGACTACAGATTGTACCAGAATAATTGAAAGTCGCAAGTCTCAAAGTGTCCAAATACCGGTAAGCTCCTCCCCAAGATGAGCAAGTGGAAATGTAAGCTCATTCTAAATAGCAACAATAAATTATAAGTGATTAATCCCGTAGGTGTGTTTATCAATCACCTCACAGGAAAACCCTCAGGGTGAGCTGTTGCATGTTTGTGTTTGTGGAAGAAGTTACCTGTTTTCCCTGAACGTTCCTCAGACTTAGAAACTCCGACTGTCTCTAAAGATTTAAACACAGAGGCAACGCTTTCAAAAGTTCCAGTGCCAACGACTTCACAATCTAGTCCACTGTGAGGGACCAATCTTATCCAAATGACTTTCCACCAATGACAGTTCATCCTGATCCAAAACAGACAGCAACAACATACCCGAGAAGGTATACTGTATTTATGAAATCATAAAGTGTACCTTGTTTGGGTAAACTTTCGATCATCGTCTCCATTCTAACATTTGAGAGATGATCACTGACTTCCAGCTGGCAATATATTTGATTCTGTGTGAGGATTGCTGCCAGCAGATTTAAACATAAAACCTACAGGTCACATACGCCTTAAGTCAAAAATATTCTATACCTCGCTGACAATGTGAACAGCAAACTTTGTTTAAATGGAGCTTCTCATTAGATTTTGTTTTCTTTTGTAATTTAATGATAAACTTTTCTTTAGTTTGGCTTAAAGAGAAGGACTCTCCTCGGGATCTAGAAAGGTGATTTAGGGGGAACTACTGGAAAACATTTAGAGACAACTCCCAAAGAGGATAATTATTGTGTTTTCAATAGAGGGCCTGTTAAACAATACTTCTTGATGATGAGTACCCCATCAAGAGTAAAATGTTTAGTAATCAATTACTTCCAGGCGATTATCTGCCTAATGAAAAAGCCTTCCATTCTTCTGTTCTCGTAAATGCATACTCATCTGCCGGAGATCTGATATCACGCGCCGCAACTTGGATTACCAAATCTAGCAACACGGACTGCTTAATTAGGCAGAAGTCTTTTAAACGCGGCTTTTGTTCTGCCCCTGTCCTGTGTGGTTATTAGACATGCTGGTAAGTCAATTGTGAAAAATTTTTTTAGTCTTGGTTTTCAGTAGTTTGCCTGACAAAGTTCACTTCTGTTGCAGTGACTTAAGCTGGTGGACATAGGCAAACTAAGATGAGAAAATTTGGTAACTTTAATTTCAGTATAAATTTTCACTTACTTTGAATTTCTTGTACATTGCTCCTGCCACATCTGCTAAATATCTGTCTCTATCCAGAAAAAAAAAAGAGTTACTGTTTCATTATAGATACCAGCAGCCTATGATTTCTATTTTTAATTCATTTTTAAAAGGTTGTACTTATCCTAGCTGAGATTTTGACATTTGACAGTTAAGAAGTATAAAAAGGCTTTGGAAGCATGAGACCCCAGAGAAGTCACTAATGGGCTTCCCATGATCTTACACACAAGGCTTCCGCTGAAATCGTAAACCCGCTCAAGGCTTACGATCTGAAAGCATGAATTGTTGTAGCTAGGTTTTACGAGTTTAATTCCACTAGCAAATCCTACTTTCTATATTTTAAGTCTCAACTAGAGAAAAATCGAGGCGCATTTTGAAAGAAACAATCCAGAGGAAGAAAGTCACTGCCAATAACCCTTTCTGCCGCAAACCATTAAGGAACTTCTAGGAGCACAGGACTAGCCTGCCATGCCTGACAACCCACTTTTAACACTCACGAAACTGCCTTTGAATCATTACATTTTGTCTGTTTTATTTCCCACACAAGGTTCAATAAATCACGCAGCCTAGATGACTGCATGACAATTTTCTGGGCCTTTTTCTCCCTCTGTTTTTCCAGCATTTTTTTTTCATGACCCAGTTCTGTGACTCCTACAAGCCATGAAAAGTTGCCTTGGAATTATGGCAGAGTCCGTGAAAGTCAGCAGGTACTAAAGGACCCCTAGGTCCTCAGGAATTGTGTTTTCCTCCCGGAGTCTCTCTCCTGGGCAATGACTGAACAGGGTGCACTAGGATTTACCACAGAAACAAATCCTTGATGGCATTTGCATTACTGTAGCAAATAGATGTTCTCGAAAGAAGACTGAGCCTCCTTCTCCCTACCCAGTATATCCAGAGACTACTTTCATGGGAGGCACCACATACTGCAGACACACGAAAGTAAAGATGTTACATGACGGGTCTCTCCTGTGTCTCTAAACTCTCTTTTGTGAATCTTACTTATTTCCTTGTTTGTAACATCCAGTATTATAAGGCTTGTTGGGGACATAGGATCTAACTCTGCCTTGCTGACAAAATGTGTAATATTCATTTCTTGGCCAAAAAATGTAGGAATATCTTGCTTTTGGAAAATCCTTGCTGTATTTATTCTCGGTTTGGTGACAGGTTTAGCAGGACTGTCAGAGGAGCAAAGGAGAAATGGGATCCCAAGCACTATGTTTAGCAGACTTTTATCCCAACAACTCCCGTAAGAAAGCCTTTGAGAACACAGCTAGCACACACTTTTATTGTTCAAAGTATAGTTTCTTGAACTTACTTCATGGCAGTCATACAACAAGCACAGCGCCAAGGCCCCTCTGCTTTAGAAGCACTAAATGTTTGTTTCTAATGGGAAGCATGGTCAAGAACTTCTTTTTAAAAGAATTTTTTTCTTTAACTTTTTTTTTTTAGCTACTCCCACGGGTTTTGTATCTACACCACAAATCCCTGAATCCCCACCATGCCAAGTGAGTCTGAACCCCGGGAGTTTCTCTCACTACACTCAAAGTGTTTTAAACGTCTTTTGATTGGTTTCCTACAGACCTACTTTTTCAATATTGTTACTAAAGTCTGTCTCTTTCCTATTGGTCTAGTTTTTGTGGCGAGAGGAAACCAGGTTGGAGGGATGCTTTTACTGTTACTAGTTTTGGTTTTAGTCCCTTAAAACCAAACAAGGGTTTGGTCCCCTGCCTATGTCAAAACTCAGCATAGTCCAAAACTGCTTCCCCAGAGGGAGATCATTTTAAGTAAAGTTCGGTGAATTCAGTTTTGAAGCCCAGGAAACCGATTTACTTGTAAAATTACAAAGAAGACATAAGAAGTCGGGCATTAAGTGTACGACCACCAAGCTCAAGTTGAAACCGACAAACTCACTGCGCGAGACGACCTAGGCACTGAATCTGGTCAAGTGCTTTGAAGTTTCTCATTGGAACTCCATAGTGCCAGGAAGAAGGGTGTTTTCTCCACGAAACAAGAAAGGGCACTACAGAGGCGTCCCACTGCCAGGGCTGCTTGGTCCTAACTTATCTCCCATCCAGGGAGCAGTACCTGCCCTGGCTGGGTTGCAAGCGCTCCGCTTTTGAATGTCCACCGTTGGCGGGTCTGTTCTCCTTGCAGGGACGCAGGAAAGAAATCTCTTGGTCCCTCTCGCTCTCGGGTTGGAAAGCAGAGGCGACCGCACAAGGGAGAAAGTACCACAGCCCACTGTCTCCCAGCGATTCTTACCGGTACAAGAATGCAGAGGCTTGGGTCGCACCACCAGCGACGGGCACACAGAGTAGAGGGAAAGTTTCTCAAAGTAGTCGCAGGTCTCCTTGGAGAGGATCTCATCGATCATGAAAGTCTTGTAGCGCCGCCTGGCTGCTTTGAGCTGGCCGGGTGAGCTCAGCCTCAGTTCCGCGTGGCAATGCATGGTGAGCCGGGACTAGAGCCTGGCGACCTGAGTGCTGCGAGTGCCGCCGACTCTTCTCGGACCGCGGGGGCTGGCACGCGGGCTGGGGCTTGAGCCCCGCTCTTCCGCAGCCAGAGGGGCGCCGGGGGCAGGTGAGGCGCGCGGACCAGAGCGGGCACGGGCGCGCCTGCTGCGTCTACACCCACCCGCGGAGCAGCATCTTTGACTACAGCCTTTTTGGGACACCGCAGCTGTCAATCAGCGCGCACTTCCTGCAGGGCCAGGTGCGGAGCGCGAGCCGAGGGGCGTCGGCCGCCACCCCGCCCCTGCGCGTCCGTGTGGCTTGGGTGCTCAACTGCGCACCCAGGGTCCGGCAGCTCCAGCTCACCTCCTCCCGCCAGTCCGAGTCAAGCGCTCCCCACGCTAGCTCTCTATTTTAAGACACTCGCGTCTGCTCTTCTCTCCCCATCCCCCAAGCTCCAGGTGTGTGTACGGGGGTGCGCGCGTGTATGTGCACGCGCAGCACGGCCGGCGCGCGTCACCTCCTCCTGCGGCCCAGGAGTCCCTCGGCCGCTTTTCCCAGCCGTGTCTTCCTCTGTCCTCGCTTAAAGCCAGTGCTGCTAAAGGGGCCACCCCTCCCTGCCCGCAACCCTGCGGATAGCTATGTCCTCTTCTCTTACCACAAAATAGTGGAGTCCTCGTTCATACTCCAGAGGCTCCGGGCCCCAGAACACGCGCTTCCCTTCGACCTCTGTATCTCACTTGTCCTCGCGTGGGCCGTTTCCCAGGACCACGGCGTCCCCTTTTCAGCCCGCAGCTCCTAAACCTGCGCTGCTGCACCCGCGCGCTCCCGGCATGGGGGCATTTACGCCGACGTTGTAAATAAACTTGATTGTCTTACGATCCCAAACTACAAATGACTTTAGCACAATCCGTTACCCCAATAATAAACTGGAGGAATAACGTGTATTTGTGTGTGTTTAAATTCTGGTCATAAAACGGTTTGCTTTGCTGGAAAGGGCCAAAACAGCAGGATCGTGGCGTGTCCGCGGCTCTTCCACAGTCAACCTAAATTTTGCCTTTTTCTAGTGCCCAGTCCGGGTTTTCATTCCCAGGCATGACAGACTTCAGGTGTTTGGAGATGGTTTGTCTTTTTTTTTAAATTTTTATTTACCTATTTATCTATCTATCTATTTATTTTAACGTCCTGATCTCAGAGTCTGTCCCAATCACTGTCTGGACGAACTTTTGTTTTCAATCACAGAGTCCTTGAGTGAGAGGGACAGGCGGGCACCTAAGCGCCTGGGACAGCTCCCGCTGTCCTAGATGCGCGCCGCCCTGGAAAGCGACCTCCCGGTGCACTCTCGGTACCAAGATTGTGTCCTTGGAGCAGTATAGGCGACCTGGGCAGGAAACCGACATGGAGGCACAGAATTTTGGACCCGGACAGCCGGTGATGCTTCCTCGGTGCTCTCACCCTGGGGGTGACCATGAGTCTCGAGGAGTGTTCTTGTCGGGCTGCGCGCTCCGAGCATGACTAGCTAAGAAAGCAAGTCCGGACGCGCACCCAGGCGGATGGTTAAACTCGCGAAGGAGCAAACTTGTTGAACTAATGATTAAGCACTTAGGGAAAAATAGGTTTTAATAGACGGAATCATAACCGAGCGTTTGCTATGACCCGCAGCCCTTATTGATGATCTTTATTTCCCACGTGTCTGCGTCCTCCCGATTCCGCTTCCCCCCTCTCCCTTTGGAATTGCTTTTATTTCTTCTCCAGACGGAGTCAACCCGCCAGGACTGCAGCTAGGTACACCTCAGTGGTGCCGCCTTCCTTGCTTTCATCCCCGGACCCTATGGCCTATCTGATGTGGGGGAATCAAGGGCCTAGCACTTGTCCCTGATCAGTCTGAGCGCTGCTTCCCGACGCCGCGGCCCGCTGCGCTGCGCAGAAAACCGGGCCAGGGACTGGAGCGCAACGTTCGCTGCCAGGGCGATCCCGGAGAGCTCTTTGTTCCCAGGACAGTGCCGCACAATCGGCCACCGCAGAGAAGCTGAATGTTGTGCGGGATCCGCGTCTAACCGACGTGACAGCGAGGCGGGCTTACAGCGCAAGAGAGCCCGGTACCAGAGAGGCAGCTGTCGCGCTTAAGCAAGCAGGCTCCGCCTTGGGTGCAGGGAAGGTGGACGCTCTGGGTCACCCTGCAGGAACCCTGCCCACTGCACTCCTTTCCTCCAACCTTTTTCTTGACTCTTCCCACTCTTTCTCCCAGTAACTCTTTCTCCCCCCTCACCTCATTTCTCCTTTTCCCTCATTTGTTCTCTCATTTGGGGTTTCTAGGTTTAGCCCCCCCCCTTCACTTTCCTGTTCTGTTCTCCCCCATAGTGCGTCTTTTTTTTTCTTCCTTTCTCATCTTCTTCTCCACCTTCTCTCTTTCCAAACTTGGGTCGGGAGTGGCATTTGTGTACCCTTTCCTGCGGAAGCTCATCTGCAGACACAGGGCTTCGAACCCCCTACCCAGCCCTTGGATTGGCTTCTGCCCTGACATGTCTCCCCCAAGGCAACCGTCTTTCAACCCTCTAACTCCCTACTTCCACAGAGCCATGGATATAAAATTCACTTAGGCCCTGAATCCAGTGAACTTCGATAGCCAAAGAAGTAGAGCAGCCCCCATCAGTGCCTTAGTTTCTCTGTTTTTCCGTTTTCTCACTTTCCACTGGGAAGACCCGAAATCGCCGAGAGGTCTGTGGGAACAAATTTCCTCTGGAGAGAGAAGTGCGTGGTTCTGGATCTTGGAATCTGGAGTCTTTGGCACTCTGGTATTCCTTTCTTAAACTGACCTTGTCTTTTCATTTCCAAATGCGAATCCTAGTTTCTACTTCCCAAGGCTGGCCTTGCAAAGTCCACGCCTTTTACAAACCTTGCCTTTAACTGGAATATCCTGCCACCTCTCCCCTCCCTCCTCCTCTGCCTGAGAAACTAGAGACCCCTCTCAAATACAACCTCCTCCCAAGACCTCCTTTCTCAGCTGGAGGCCTGCCCCTAGCTGTTCTGCCCCTATCCCAGCGTTGCCTCCGCTGTGTTGCTTATGCATGTTTATTTCACCCTCTGGACAATGAATTCCTCATGGCCAATGCTTTCTTCAGCATTATTCATCTTTTGCCATCCATTATCCACATAGCACCTGGCACATGGTCCCTTCCCAGTAAGAGTGTCCTGAATAAATGATTGTACGCAAGCTCTGGAAACGGAATTATATAATGTGTTTGATGGGACATCGCATCTTAATTAGTTGTACTAAATTTGTCTTTCTCTTTAAACGAGTCTCTCCCCTTTCCTTGTTAATTTCGGGCTTTGAGCAATGGCACGCAGCCCAATTTCTCCAAGCTCCTTCTTTCCAGCCCCTCTCTGCCATTCTTAGACTATACAGCATTTCCACGGGAGGAAGCACACCCCAGCTGTCAATCACGAAGTGGAACTCTGTTCAGAATAGTCAGGGGTTTTGTTTCCAAAGTTAATGAAGTGGCTGAAACAGCAAACATCTGCCAAAGGGGGCTCAAACCTCTTCCAGCTGCTGGAGACTGGCAGACACTCCTCAGCATCCCGGTCACCATGCCCAGGCAGTGTCTGCCCTTGCAGCCACAAAGGAACACACACAGAGACGGACAGACTGTTTACCCTGTGTAGTGAGCATACAAGGTGAGAAAACTTCATACCCTGGAGGACAGGTCTCAGAGGATCACATCCCCTCCCCGAATTGGCTCCTGATTCCTGAGACAGCCCAGCAGGAGAGAAGGGCGGGAGGATAAAAGTTGGACCCGGTGATCTAAAAACCAGCGACTCCGTTTTCCCTTAGATCTTACACTGGACATCTCTGCTCAACAAGAACTCTTGAAGTTTAATGAATGAATTCCTCTAATTTCAAACGTGACCCTTAAATTACATGTAGGACCCACCTTAGGTGCTATCACCTTAACCTGTGAGCCACCCTTATAATCTTGATTATAATGCAATCGGGTATAATTATGACAAATACACAGTTGACTTCCCAGCTGTTACTTCTTCAAAGGGGACAGAGGGAGCAGAAAGAATTTCCTATAGTCTGGTCACGTGTATTTAATAACTTGTATTTCAGCCACTAAGTTTCGAAATAGTTTCAGACATGTAAAAGCAAAATAGGGAAAGTCTTGTAAGTTAATATTCCCCTGGGCCCCAGGTTCATGCCAAAACCGCTTGCTGTCTGTGCAGCCCGACCAGGCAGCCTCAAATAACAAGTTGAAGGAGGTGTACGGGGAGGCCAGCTTATTTGTAATGATGATATTAATTACAAAGCTGCTCTCATCCACTGTAAGGCACCTTCTTAAGAGAGGCCGCAGATGCAATCCACTTGACCAATGAGCTTAGAAAGGATGGAGTACAGCCCTCGAGCCTTGCCCAAAAGCCTCATTTAAACTGGAAAAAAAGTAAAACAATAGCTGCATCTATAAAGCACTGAACATTAATACAAAGATGAAAAGGTTCAGTAAATGACCCAGGTAGTTCCAAATTTGAGAAGCTTAGCGTACAGATTAAGATTCATAGATTCTCACAATACAGACATGCATATGTGTGTGTGTGTGCACGCACGTGTGCATGTGAGCCGGCTTGAATGCTTTCTTTGTTTTTTGAGATACTGTTTCATGTATCCAGACTCCCCTTGTGCTTACTACGTAGCTAAGGCTGACCTTGAACTCCAGATCCTGCCACGCCCATCTCCCAAGTGCTAAGATTATATAACTACCTGGCTGTGTTTCTCCTTTTCACCTGTACTATGCTGATATCATCTGGACATCTTTCTGCAAATGGTCTATGTGCCTCAGTCATCCCAACTGCTATAGCCAGAGTACTAAAATTAGGCGTTGTGAAGTTTACCGTAATATCGTGCGAACCCCACGGGAAGCCTGGACCGCCACTGCCAGTGCTTTCTCCCACCTGTTATCCCTTCGCTAAGAAGAAAGCTGCAGCAGAATGTGGCAGAGTGTGAGACACGGTGGAATTGCTTCTGGGGTGGGAAACATAAACCTTCCAGCCAGACCAATCCGGCTTCCTTTCCTAGCTCAGACGCCGAGCTATTCTCTGACCACTGGCCTTCAACCACCTACCTGTGTGTAAGAAGAGCAGATGCAAGTTTTGAGGAAGATACTGTGGGACTCCATGTTCCCAATGCTCAAGAATTGCTACTGTCCCTGACACTTGCACTGTTTCAATAACGTAAGTGATTTTCACAAAACAAAACTGTTCCTTAATAGGTACAAGGACCTGCCTTTCCTGCTTCATAGTCTTAGATTTTCTCAGTGTTCTAAGACCAGAATCATCCTGAAAACAAAACTAAGACCAGAATCAACCAAGGTATTAGGAGTGGGAAGACGGGACACGGAACTTAGCAGTTTGTGAAGTGCCTGCCCGGGTTCAATGCTCAGGACCACATTAAACCAGATATGAGAGCGTGTGCCTGCGCTGTCGTCACAGAGAGCAGCAGA